CTTAGTCTTATTTAGTTAGTAACAAATATCAAGAGGTTAGTTTTCACTCGTCGTGAACCAATCGGAACTTTGTTGTCTTTTTCTCAAACGGGACGCGCGTGCATCAAGTTGCAAATATTTCCATCACTGCAATTTCGTGCAGCTCTATTTACACGTTTCTATTTATATGCCCAATTGTACGTGTCTTCGGGAAGAATGCGCGGAAGAATGCTAACGAGCATTCCTGCATGATCCCATCGTCGAAGGAGTCCGAGCCAGAGGCGGCCTTGCCACGAGATACACAGCTTTCTCTACTTTCGCTTATGCGAGATTTTCAGACCGACTACCGGCAAACTCGCGCGGCGATTCTTAACGGTGTTTGTCGCCTTGGCTCGTGTGCATTCCATCGTGTGCATTCCCCGCAGTCCATGAAAGAGGAAACGCTTGAACGACGATTGAACGTTTGCTCGTATATCGAGTTACGGCCAATCGAAGTAATAATAACCTACGATTGGATAAAATATAGGATGTTCAGGAGAAGAAAGTAATATAGATGATATGAGGCAATTTTTTATTAATTTAGAGAAGCTAAATAAAGTTAAATTTGAACCTCATGATATCGTGAAGTCACGTTCGTGGATCAAATATGACGACAATTAAAGTTTAACTTTAATCGCGACTTTAGTCATCGCATGCACGGTGAATATCATAATATCGTAGCGATAACAGTGAAAAATTGTCGACAACTTAAATTGACATGACTTCGTAAAAACAAATTATACAAGAATCGTGCGGTCTACTTGCGCTTTCATTTTAAAGCATAAAGCCTGTAATTTGACAGCCGTGAGTTTTTCGTGTTCTTCAAAAGTGAATTTACATCAGCCAACGGGTGGGAAGGTGAGGATACTTTTCCTTCGAAAATTGTAGAAATTCAAACGCACTCAAAAGCATTGAAAAATTGTTTTCCGTCATCGTTTTGACGAAGACTGAGACCTCCATTTTATAACGTCGAAACCGATAAAGATTCAAGACTTTGTGTATTTTTATATTTTTATATATTTGTGTTTTGATCAGAGATTTAGAGGAGATTGAATGTTAACAGGATGCACAGGTAAAATAAGCAGATTTATGCGACCGAGATACCAGAATTTA